GCGAAATATTTTGGTGGACGTCTTAAAATATAATAGATTTTGTAATCCTGGCGGAAAAACTGCAACTTTTTTTGGTGATGCAGTCTAATGTACATACATAGGTGAAGATATGTGATATGTGTGTTGCATTGGGAACTGGTATTCTTACCCTTTTTTACCTTCCTCCTACTCGACTTTTCTTTGTCCCATTAGCTGCTTATTTTTTCTTCAATTTCAACCGTTCACTCTATTGAATAATTCTGTTTTCTTGGCTTGGCTTTGAATATATTCACATTTGAAACACTAATGGCCAAGCAGTCACATGCGGCACACACATGCATAGATAGGTATGTATGTATGTATCCTTTTGGTAATTAACTTGCTGTTGCCGTAACAAGCTGAACCAACCCATAAGCTAAAGTATGAACCCTATACATACACACATACACACATCAGAATGCAGCGTCATCTTCAAGGTGAGCCAACTCAATTATTTTACCCAAGCAGAGATTTGAAATGTAAATTTGTTATATGTATGTTACATAAGCACACATTCCGCATTCGCTGATACCCATAAACAATTGACATCTCGTAATCTATGAGGATTGAGATCTATTTTATCTCTAACCTCGAACTTTGATAGTTTAGGTCAAGTTGAAAGAACCGATAAGTTAGGTCAAGGTGTTCTTACTCAGCTCCATTGTACTGTTTTCGCATTCCCTTTTTATCTGTTTTAAATCTACACGATCTACGAATAAATCGGAGCAGATTCTTGGCGTTAAAGAGTTCTCTCAATATATCGCTGCCAAAAGCATTATACCTAATCCTTGCAAAGGCACCTGACGTGTCCAGTCTACAGTCCCACAAGTTGTCCAATGTACCATCTGCTCAATGAAAGCAAATACCTTTCAGGACGCTCAGAGATTGCTGTCCGCCTGCAACCCTCGCAGCCTCCCAGTCATAATTATCTAGTTTCTGACGGTGTTTTCGATGGCCGAAGATGGGAGTGCTACAACTGTGAAGTGAAGTCTGGTCCTAGTGAGGTCTTCACAATGGCGCATAGTGTGCTCTGCTGTTTCTTGTTTTTCTTTGAACAACCTAAAGTGATCAGAGTTAACCACTCCAATATTTGACAAGTGTTTCATTACCATACAGTGGCCAGTAATAAAACCTTTAAAAATTCTTATTTCTCTTCTTGCCTGCCAATTGACTGCAGCGCCTCGTAGCCTTCTACTAAATAGCTTTGTTGCAGAAAAGCTACTATCTTCGATAGGCAACGGCGTCGAAAGAAATGGTCAGTGTTGGCCATCCAGCGTCACTATTTGCTGGAACGTCCCACGTTGCAACTGTAGAAACCCAATAATGTATGGAAGAATTTGTATGCTCTTGAAACAAATACATACATCAAGCAGCTGATGAGATGGTCAGATATGGCTCTGAGCTAGAGATAAACGAGACTTATAACACTACACAACCTCCGTTTAAGGATCCTAGGTGGAAAATTGAATACACCGTCGCCGTTACGAAAAGAGTACTACTCATAGTAATATTATTTTGCACTAAAATTCTACTTCACATACTAATTTTCAACAATTTGGATCAAATATTAACTGAAATATCATGGTTTTTGCATTTTTCGAAAATATCATTATATGAGAAAGGGGCGTGGTTACAGTCCGATTACGCCCATTTTCAATTGCAACCTACCTTGGATAAAGGGCAACCTATTTACCAAATTTCGTTGAGATATGTAAATTTTTGCTCCAGTTATCGTGTACACGGACAGACGGACAGACAGACAGACATGGCTTAATCGACTTCTCTTTTCATTCCAATCATTTATGTATTATGCATTTGTCCATATCTATCTCGATTCCTTTAGGCTGTTACAGACAACCGTTATGCGAAAAAAGTTATAGTACCCATGCATCAGTGCGCACGGGTATAAAAAACAATGGCATTTTTCGTTCACTGTCACTGAAGATGGCGTTCGCTCCAAAATACATCTCTCGAAAGAATCAATAAATTTTCTACTCTCTTCGGTATTGTGTCTGTCTGGTCCTTTAACTTGCGGTCTGTCTTAAGATACACGCAAAATAATTTGCCAGAGATGCAAAAACTTCAAATAGATATATATGTATGTAATCGAAGCGCAAAATAATGTTCGCAACCCTGCTGACATCCGTGGTATGAAAAAATATTCACGCAGTTTCTGCAATTCATTTCCGAATTTCAACCTCTTGCAATATGAATTCAAATTGGCTTTGGTTAAAATTTACAAGGAAGTGAATTGCAGAACCTGCCTGAATGTATGTAAACGTAAACTCACTGCTCACTGGGTTACTTATTCGGATGTAATCTTAGTTATGCATCTCATTGCTTCTTAATGATTTATCTGCTTTGCCGCATCTGCTTCACTACACTACTACTGATTTATCCCCTAAATATCGTTTTACCTGTGCTCTACGTACGGTAACACCACATCTCCGCTCAACTACAACAATGTTGTTAGTCTTGCCTACCTGGTAATTTGTCGCCAATAGTTGTTGTAGCACAGACTCACATTTTCGAAGTTAAATTACTATGTACATATAGCTATTTTTTCCTTACACACCGCTCGCTCTAAATTTCCATTACACAATCCATCCACTGCATATGTACGAATGTATTTTCTCCAGTTAGTTTATCCTGCCCCTAAGGCCTTCTTTGTATTGTTGTAAATTTTCAGCTGTGCTCTGGAAGTTGCAAATCATCCTTCAACTATTGTTTTAACACTTGTAAATATGGATGTGTGAGTTTAACCAGGAGCTAAACTACCTGCTAATTTTTCCTCTGACAACGTCGTCGTCTTTCCCTCTACTCTACCTTTCGTCTGCAGTGCCTCGGTGAACGTCATTCGAAGACGTTCATAATAAATCTTGGATCTCAGTGATTTATTCGTTGTGTCTACAATGTGCAAGCAAAACGTGTTCTAAGAAAGTGGAAAAGTGTTTATATATGCCGTGTAACGCTCAACGACATTTACATAGCTACCAAAATTATTTTTTTTTGTTTCGTACGCATGTACGGCTTTACAAAATGCCTTTGGAGCTCCTTACCTCGTTGCGTCATTTGAAAGCGCGTACCGGCGCACTCTTACAAATATTGCTGTTAAATCATGTGCCAAGATTTTTGGCAATTGCGGCGTGTGTCATTAATTTGTTGGCATTATTTTTTATGTTATACATGTATTGGCCAAACACAATGTTACACGCACGCTGCTGCGGCTTGAGGATAAGTTGCCTGGGAATTAATCTGTATGAATAAGCGGTAAGAATGAGTTCGATATTTCGATTGAGCGGAATCTAAAGAAAATCTATAGAATGGAGGTAACCGTCTGCGAATAAAACGATGGAATGCACCTTTCCTTCCAGTTTTTGTGAATATACGGTATCGGTCATATCAATAGCCCAATGCTATTGTTTGCCACTTGTGTTTAATTATTTATTTTTAAGAGTTTTAAATTAAAATACAGTTCATTTTCTAACAAAACTAATATAAAACCAGGTTTGAAACTTTTTAAAAGGCTACAAAAAAACGCAACAAATGTTAACCCAAATTTCATTTTTTTCTCAGAAGCGTTAGAATTTTTTCGAGTACGCAGTTTTATAGCCAATTCAATTTCAGTCTTATAATGGGCAAGTTTCAAGTCGCTAAAAATTACCGTTAATATTTTAGAATTTTTTTTGTACCATTTGCTTTCATATAACGAATAAACACAATTCATTTTTATATGGAAGAAACTCCAACACCTCCGCCGAAAAAGATTCTAAAAAATCAACGGTAATTTTTAGCACATTATTGGACTAAAATTGAATGGGCTATAAAACTGTGTACTCGAAAAAATTCTAACACTTCTGAGAAAAAAGCTTAAAATTTGGGTGAAAAATATGTCGCGTTTTTTGGTAGTCTTTTAAAAATTTTAAACTTGGGTTTATATGAGTTTTATTAGAGAATAAACTGTATTTGGAATGGTGGTGCTATTGATATAACCGATACTGTATGTACATACATACAGTGGTTGAAGAAATAATAGAAACTTTTTATTTTGACCAGTTTTGGCTATATTACTTTTGTTTATTCGATGTTTAATATTTTTTTATAAAAGTCTAGCGCATTATATAAGACGCACCATATAAATCCGCCTTTCAAACTTTGTACAAAAATTATAAAAAATCAACAAATTTTTACCGAGATCCCCCAAAAATTTCGAACTTTTCAATCAGATTTTTTTTGAAAAATTTTGGGTATGTAGTTTTATAAATAGCATGTGGTTGCTACATAAATCTTGGCGTTAAACGTATTCGCTAAGATCTGATGTGGTTTTAGGCGCCAAAAAAAAAATCCCTACCAGTAATTTGACACTTAATTTTCAGGTAAAAGCCTAGTGTACCTCCCATTCGATACCAACCGAATTAAAGTGATTGAAATATCTACAAAAAGTTATATCTGTGTTCGTATGGAAAAGTAGCTTATGTCGAAAGGTTGGCTTTAGTAAAAATCGGCATTCGCAGCATACGATTGCGAATGACTTACGGGCGCTAAGCCGTTAAACAACTTTTAGCAAATAAACGTGCAAGAAATAGTTCCGATACTAGCAAGTCAATATTCTTTTTAAGTCTCATCAAAAAATTCCTTGTCGTTTAAAAAATAAAGGGAATGCCGCATTATACTAAAGCCGGCCTTTCGACATAAGCTACTTTTCCATACGAACACAGATATGTATAATTCGAGTCAGTTGTACGCAGAAGGCTGGAAATTCTTTCAGATCTTGCAGGTTTGGATACCATCTTACCTTTGATTATTATAACGCAAAGGCTTTCGTTGTCTTGTCTTGATAGCTACGACCCCACGGCATCAAGATCAACACAATTATTTGTCTGTAGTCTAAAGCTCTACGCTCTACACTGTTTTAATAGGCTGGAAGTAATTATCTCTTTTGTATGCATTCATTGATTCCAAAAATCAACATAAGATTCAATTTTCGTTTATTTTTTTATTTCAGAACCCGATCTCGGCATGCCACAACACGAAGCGCAAAGATACTTCCTCCAACTGCTCTCCGGCGTACAATACCTACATCAGCATGGTATAGCGCATCGTGACTTGAAGCCGGAAAATTTATTACTAGACGAACATGATAATATCAAAATATCGGACTTTGGCATGGCAACCATGTTTAGGTATTAGGTACAACAATTTAATTTACTTAGCAATTTATTTTACGAACGAATGAAGATTACACGCAGGAAATAAAAAAATAAAATAAATAAGTAAAAACATAACTAATTCTTACATAAAAAGAACTAAAATATATCAAAAAAGCAACAAATAAAAATAAAAGAATAATAAAAACATACTAATTAAAAAAGGAACTAGAGGCATATTTGAATAAAATTTAAAACAATTAGAAAATGAAAAAAAAAAATAAATTAAAAGCAATTTAAACAAGCAATTTTTAAACAAATAAAAACAAAACCGACTTCAATTCTCATATAAAATTTAAGAATTCTGTTGATTTCTTCATGATTCAATGAACGGATCTAAACCAAATTAGTATGGGACCACCTCCTTTAAAAAAAAGAATTCGGTTAACGTGGTCGAAAGGTATGCGGTAACATACATAAAAAAACAAGTTCCGACGAATTGATAACCTCCTCCCTTTTTGAAGTCGGTTGAAACTTAAAAAATACAAATATAAAAAGCTTATTAAAAAAGTAACCGCTAATAAAATTTTTTATAAATAAATATATTAAAAAAGTAGAAGTGAATTAAAAAGTTTTATATTTAGAATTTTATTGAGTTTGACTGAGGTCGTTTTTAATGAACATTTTTGCGGAAAAACAACTTTAACTTACATACATACATACATATCGTTAACTAACACAAAATTACCAAAAAAAAAGATAATAAAACTAAGTTAAAAAAATAAGTTGGATTTAATCTCTACAAAATTAAAATAAAGTTAAAGCAAGTAAAATAAAGTTAAACGGATTTAAATAAAGTTAAAAAATTAAAATCAAGTTTAAAAAAATTTTACTTATAAAACATTGCATAAATAAAAAAGTAAAAAGATAAAATACAAAAAATTTAAGCACATTAAATAAAAAAAATTAAAAATAAAAGTTAAGAAAATAAAAATTGTTTAAAATTTAAAAAAATAGTAAAAGTTTAAAAAGGAAGATGTGTGCTTAAAAATGAAAATAAAGTTATAAAAAAGAAAAGATTTTAGCTTAAGTAAAAAATTTTAATTTTATTAAGAAATCTATAACGAAATTCCGCATTGATAAAGAAAATTGCATATTAATAATGATTTCCATAATCTTAAAAAACTGAAAATTTCAATACTTGAAAAATATTTTATACAAATTTTAAAACTTCAGTCAAAGATTTACAGAGTTAAGAGGTTTTCAAACGGAATTTGATAAACTCAAGATGCAATGAAGATATTGCAATTTATATCAATAATTTATCTTATCAGCCCTTAGAGCCGGTTACTTAATGTCTGGTTAACAGTAACTAGAGGTTAAACATAGTTATCGACTCTCTGTTATGTTTTATGGAGTCGTTCACGTCAATGACGATGTTTAACCTGCCCATAGTGTTAGCCAGACATTCAGTAACCTGAGTGCATTCTGCATATTTACTAAAATCAATTACTCATCTCGGTACATCTTATTTTCTTATTTTTTGTTAATATTACCACCGCAGATATAAGGGTAAAGAACGTCTATTGGACACCCGTTGTGGCACACTGCCGTATGTGGCGCCTGAAGTGCTCGTTAAGCCCTACCATGCGCAACCCGCCGATCTCTGGTCCTGCGGAATTATACTGGTCACAATGCTGGCTGGTGGTAAGTAAAACCAAAAACTAATATCACTCAACTACAGCTGTTGCGAACTGTATACAACACACAAACAATTGCAACAGATTGCTTACACCTCGAGCAGTTGGAAACTCGCTTAGTGCAAAAGTTATTTTTTTTTAATTTAGCAATGTTCTGGTATTAAAAATATCGCACAACATTCCTAATACAAACTGGTCACGCAAATAAACACACAGATGATACATTATATTTTGATTGAATACATGTTTTTATAGCATTTTTCTATGCATAGTGTGTTTATATATACATATGTATTTAGATTACTTCCTCGTATTCATACAGCGTTAATACGTATGTACATAAATTCGGTCATTCGTTTTGCATTTTTCGCTTATTTCGTTTGCTATAAATGTTCGCCCTGCCGCAACAGGCTAACAACGCGACGCGCAGCATTCAACGCCCGACAAATATCCTTGCAAAAAAATGTGAAATTTTTACATTCACATATTATCCTTTTGTTTTTGTGCTTTATATACATACATACATACATAGTGCACGGTTCGCTGGGTGACACGCCCAGCTTATTTCACATCCATTCACCCTTGCACTCGCTCACGCATTCTAGTATCAATATCCGTCCAACTCGTTAGTCGACACATCCGCGCATCCTCATCAATCAAGTCGGAACACATTTTTATTATTTGCCTCGATTTCCTCGCCGCTGCACTTGTTTTGGGTGCAGTTTTTTGCGTTTTTTTTTTTTGCTTTGTATGTTTGAATCTCTGGCTCGCCGCGTTGATTATCGCCACAAGTGTGGTACTCGCACATCGCCCTCGAGTTTTCATTTCTTTCCGCTCGCGCTTGTCGAATTAAATTTTCGTTATGTGTTTTATGCGTGTCTTGTAAAAGAAGTTATCGCGGCTCACATATTCGCTTGCGAATATGTATCTATGTAGTTTATTGTTTGGATAAGAATTTAGATTTAATTCTAAGCTTATGTTTAAAATTTGGTGCACCATTAAACTCATAATCAATCAATCAGCCAATCAATCGACCGACCGACCAACCAACCAACCAACCAATCGACCAGCCCAGCCTATCAATCGACGAATCAATCAATTAATCAAATCATTTTTGCTGTGTCTTTGGTATTCTAGCTGTAGATTTTTTAATTTGCTATCATCTAAAGCTTTTATACCAAAGCTCCAGCTTAAATTGCTTGCTGCACATTTTTTCGTTTTGTTTCGTTTTCGTTCGTTCTCGTTATTTTTTTCTGTTAATTTGTTCGTTTGTTGTTCGTTCGTTCTTTATCGCTTGAATGCTCGTTTTTGTACTTACTATAATATTTTTGTATTTACCTTTTTTATTGCCGTTACCGTTATGTTTGCTCTTTTTTCATTTATTTTTATGCATATTTACATCAAGTGCTACGTTTGCACACTTTGCGCTAATGTTTTAAATTATTATATTTTTTTCTTTTGCAAAATGTGAAATGTGAAAATATGTTTTATCAGCTGTGTTTGACTTGCAACACTTGTTCGCTTAAAAGAAATGACGATGATTATATTTAAGAAATTGGCAATATTTTAAGATAATGTGTCTAAAATTAATACATAAATATCTGATCAGAAAAAAGAGGTTATATTAATCGTTATAATCGTAAATAAATTTAGCAAACTATAGTTCTGAGATTATAATTTAATGGCCTTATTCATAAAAGTTAAAATAGGTTTAAAGAACTTTATAAGTGACATGTTCATACAAATTTTCAATTTATAAAGCATTTAAAGTCGTTTTTTTTATGAATTTGGGCGTAAGTCTTTGGTGATCAATGCCGCCTGTTATTTTACTCGTAGCCTGACAAAAAGCTAAAAATTAAACAAAATATTAAAAAGTATATAAAATATAAAAGCTAATCAAAAACTAATAATTGAAACAAAAAACCAAACTAAATTAAACGAAAAAAAAAATTAAAAACAAATGTTAATAAAATGAAATAATTAAGAAAAATATTAAAAATAAGTATGAGTAATGAAAAAATTAAGCAATAGATTAAAAATAATATGATTGATCACTTTCTTTCTATATAATAATAATAATAATAATAATAAATTAAAAAATTACAAATTTAAGAGAAGTAAAAATAAAAAGGGATACAAAATATAAAAAAGGAAGAGGTTAAATTAAAATCAGAAATAATAAAATAAAACAAAAATAATAAAATAAAATATGTAAATGAAAAAAGTATAAAATAAATAAAGCATTAAATAAAATAAAGAATAAAGCAAAATAAAAAGGAATACAATTACATAAAAAAATAATTTAAATAAGATAAACAAATAAATAAAAACGAAATATCAAAAATTTAAATAAAAAAGTAAAAATATTAGATAATTAAAAAACGACAAAAAATATAAATATGTTTCCCGTTAACATATTTTGATACCCATAAACTTTTGTAAATGATAATGTACCTAAAATATATAGTTATAGTAAAAGAAAAATAAAAATAAATGAAATTAAAGTAGAAATAAAAAACCAAAAAATAAACAAAAAACGAAATTCAAAAATAAAAAATTTAAAATCCTACAATAAAAAATAATAAAATACAAGTAATTTTTACCCAATAACACCGACCTCCATTCACATATAAAAATTTAGGGAGTACCGTTAATTTTTTCATGAACCAAATTAGTATGTGACAACTATTGTGTCACTTTTCGATGAAAAAAAAATTATGCGGTAACATACATAAAAAAAAATATTCCTACGAATTGATAACCTTTGAAGTCCGTTAAAAATAAAGAAAGAATAAAACAAAATAAATAAAGAATAAACCAGAGTAAAAGAGAATAAAATGAAACAAATAAGAATCAAAATAAGATAAAATGAAACAAAAAAAGATTGAGAATTAATTAAGATAAAATAAAACAAAAAAAACATCAACAAGATAAAAGAAAAGAAAAAATAAAAACTTCAATATTATAAAATAAGAAATAAAAATTTGAATAAGATAAAATAAAACAAAAAAAAATTAAATTAAATAAGATAAAATAAAATAAAAACCGAAGAAATAAAACACAAGAGTAAAAAATTAAAAAAAAAAATCTAAAGTAATAATATAATAATAATAAAATAAAATAAATGAAGAATAAAACAAAATAAATAAAGAATAAAACAAAGTACATTAAAAAATAAGAATCAAAATGAGATAAAATAAACAAAAAACACAACGAAAAATAAGATAGAATAAAAATTTAAATACGATAAAAGAAATAAAAAGCAAAATTAAAAAATATTAGAAAATTAAAAAAAACCTAAAAAAAAAATACTCCTCGAGTACAAATTTCCGCGTTAATATATTCCGGTGCCCATAACCTTTAAAAGGAATAATGCGCCTAATAATGTGCAACTTAAAAAGACGACATATTTATCATAGACGAACGTGTCAAACATAAATTGAGCCCTGCACGTCAAAAAAATCAATAAGCGAATTTTATTTTTAAAAAATTTGCATTTTGCTTGAGAAATGCTCCTAGAGCATCTAGATGCATTTCTGCATCAAAAAATAAATTAAAACTAAAATGTTCTACTACATACATATTTTGTTAATCATATGAGAGTTTCATAATGAGACACTCTTCGGAACGCTAGTTAAGTATAGAATTTAATAAATAGTTTACTAAGTGGAAAAAAACTCGTTTAAAGATTTTAACAACTCGATCATCTTTCAATTTTCAACTACAGAACTGGCCTGGGATCAACCTTCTACTAATTGTCAAGAATTCAAAAATTGGACTGAAAATGAACGCTGGTCAACACAAACGCCATGGAGTAAATTGGACACGCTGGCGATATCGTTGCTACGCAAAGTATTAGCCACAAATCCCACATATCGACTGACACTCGACAAAATCGTCGACGATAAATGGTGTAACATGCAATTCAATGAAAATGGTAAGTACGAATTGATGTGGCATCATTTATTTATTTATTAGTGCACATAAATTTGTAAATAAGAATAAAAAAAACAGTGCAGTTATAACATCATAGTTGTGCGCAGTGTACGAAAATAAACTATATTGTACGTTACTATTTCGTTTCGTTTATTACTTTAACAGTTCGGTACAATACGAAAACAAAACGGCTGAGTTCACTTTGGCGATAGTACACTACAGTAGGTAGTAGTTACATACGAAACAACAAACGAAATGAATCGTGCAGAGAAAAATATATGTATGTATGTACATATATGCAATAACTAAATACAAAAAACGAATGGCTGCAATGAATAAAAAAAAAATGTTTTTTAATTGAATTGCATATGAAAATTTACAGAAAAAAAATATTTTTCACGTAATTGAAACGTTTGCATACACATAAAACGTACAATATGGTACAATTGTCACAAACGAAGAGCAAACGTTTCTCGTTGGGGAAAATGACAGTGAATCTTACAATTTGTTTCTGACTATGTACAAAACTGTACAAAACCACAAATGATATGATGATCGATGAGCAAATGGGAATTGTTTTGTACAGTTTATTTTCGTACCCTGGTTGTGCGTGCTTAAATGCCTAAAAGACTCCACCAGTGCAAGCTTAAATAAAGCTCCAAGCAGACACCACATTTTGCACCCACTTCCACACTACAGCTCAGAAACATTTGTCCAGGTACTTAGTGACTCTCAAGTATGCATTGTTACTTAGCGTTGAGGGTTACTTTGTGCCTTAATAAAAGTTTCTGGAATAACGGCGATAGACGACGATGGAGTTAGGAAGTGTTTTATAGTGGTTTCAGTGAAATTTTTGAGTGAATTTGAATAAAATTTCCATGGCTTTTATTTAATGACTTTTTTTTAGCGCTTTAATAAGTCTACGCATATTTCACCCAGTTGGTTTTTTGCCTTCCTAATGTTACATTTGCTTTACTGTGCTGTTAGTTGAAAGCTCTAAATCGCGCATAATTTTAGGCGACACATACTTTCCTAGCTTTCACCATGAAAAAAGCTTTCTTTCGTCGGTCGCCAACTGGCAGCTTTTCATCGCTTTGGCGCTTTAGCTGTATGATAGATTTGACTACTTCATAAAGCTAGATTACCAAAGCATTGAAGAGACTGCTTCAACTTCGTTGAAACTCGTAGAGGATAGTAAACAAGAGTTGATTGGGGAAAGAGTAAAAAAAAAACGAAATTATGAAAAGTAAAATATCGCAATCTCGAAAGAATGCTCAAAATTTAAAATATCGAAATAGGAAAAAATTATAAAAAAAAAAAAATCGGTAAAAATATAAATAATTTCTAAACCGAAAAAAGAGAAGATAAAAAATCTTAGTTTATAAAATTATAATTAAACACAAATAGTAAAAATTAAAAGAATAATGATGACAATTAAAAAAAAAATGTAAAAATTAGAAATTGAATAAACCTAAACCAAGCCAAAGAAAATAAAAGAATGTTTGGGAAAAACTCGGACGACTTGGTAAAAAGTTTAAAGTTTAAAATCAGTGAAATTCAGAAGAGGAAGAAACAAACAAAAGATTAAAAGTGAATCACTAAAAAATAAGATGTGAAGCACGAAAAATCAATAAATAATAAAACAAAGCAATTAATAATAAACAATACAACAAGAAAAATAGAAAGTATTAAAAATAAATACAAGTCATTTTTAAGCAAAAAATGCAACCGACGTCAATGCTCATATAAAAATTTAGGAGCACAGAATTAGTATGGCGCCACCCCCTATACAAAAAATAATCGTAAACGGTCCACGTGGTCCAAAGTTATCCGGTTACATACCTAAAAAATAAATCCGATCCTTTCTCCTTTTTATGAAGTCAGTTAAAAATAAAACAATAAAAATTAATACAAAATTAATAAAAAATAAAGCCAGAAAAAGAAATAAAAAATAAGTTATATGAAAAATTCAAAAAATTAATAAAATGAATAAAAAATTTATTAACATAAAACAAATAAATAGGAAACAAACACGTAGGAATAAAAAACGAAAAAAAAACAAAAATAATAAATATAAAAAGACAATACTAAATGAAAAATATTGAATAAAAAAACTTAAAAATTGTTTTTTACAAAATCATCGTTTAAAAGTGAATCTGGCATATTTAAATTTTAATTTTGTTTTATTAAAAAAAATTGGTTCGAAGTAAATAGAAGTGAAAATTACGAGTTCATATGTTTTGTGGAAGTGGAAAATTCCAATCTATATTTTTTATATAAAAAATATGTATATATATTATTTGTGCTTTTGTGTTGCGTTTATTTTATATTTGCATTTTATTTTCATTTGCATATTATTTGTTCTTTGGTGATTTTAGCTGTATGGTAGACAAACATGAAATCCATAGAGCTTTATTACCAAAAACCAAATGATTTTTGCGTTTTCAGTTCAAATGCATTCAATTAAGTTTTTAAGTTTTCTTTCGCAAAAGTGTTTTGTGTATCGTAAGCATGCTTTTTTTGTTTTAAGTGTAATTTTTGTTATCAAGTAATTTATTAACTCTTCTGCACTTCAACACAAGTAATTTTCCTTTACACATCTTCTTTTTCACCAGAACACTCGCACGATCTCGTCGACTCGGCGGCCACACTCGACATCCACTCGCCGAAAGCCAAACGACCGCGCCAACATTCAAGCAACCATCGACTCAACAATCACTTTGTCGACGATACAATATCGCGCAATTATTGTTCACAACCCATGCCCACGATGCCTATAAATCTGACGGATGTGTGCAGTGCACCTCGTGGCGCCAAAAACAACAACAACGCTGCACATGAAGCACGCTTTAATTTCTGTTTCTCACAACCAGCCCTGCTGGACGATCTGTTGGTATGCACCCAAATGAATCAAACACAATCGGCTTCGCAGAATGTCTTTCATCGTTTGGTGCGTCGCATGACACGCTTCTTTGTTACCACGCGCTGGGATGATACCATCAAGCGGCTGGTGTCGGCCATCGAACGCTTGGGTTTTGCCTGCAAAGTGGGCGATGGTGGTGTAGTTACCATATCGACAATTGATCGGCGGAAACTGCGTCTCGTATTCAAGGCGTACATTATTGAGATGGACGGCAAGATTTTGGTGGATTTCCGTCTTTCGAAAGGCTGTGGTTTAGAATTTAAGCGCCGCTTTATTAAAATTAAGGAAGCGCTGGAGGATATCGTGCTGAGAGGACCGACAACGTGGCCCATTGCGATTGCAACGAATGCTGTGCCTTGAAGGAGCTTGTAGCTGGTTGGCTGACGGATGATAGCAAAAATGCGTAGCACGTTTTTTTACTTTATACTGAAGCTGGAAGGAGTAGCAACAACCATCTTTAAATTTAATTTATTAGTAATAATTTTGTACTTTAATCCAAAGTCATCTTGCTATACGAATGTTTACAAAGAAAATATGTATTCTATAAACGCTTTTTATTTTAGTGTTATAGCTGCTCATCGATTATTACATATTATTATTGTTTTACTATTCATATTTTCATTAACCTTCACATTTACATAGTTTTAGTTAATGACTTAGTTACATTTGGGCTGTATTAATTTATTAAAAGAAAAGAGAAAAACGACAAATGTTTGTATTTATACACATTTAAAAAAAGAATATTAGGTAAATAGAAAAATACACGAAAAAGTAAGTGCTAAAATAAATAAATATTATTTGTAAATACGTAGCAAAAAATTGTTGCCGATTCTAATTTTAATTTATTTCTCTACGAAGACGATATGTTCGAGCAAAGTAATAATTACCACAATATTGCTACCTTGTTGTTTTCTTGATGCGCTGTTGCTGATTCTCAATTGGAAATCTACTGAAATGCTGGGAATCATTTGATTCGCTAGTGATGATCGGCGGATTGCCAAACTCGTTCCTTAATTGCGTGATTTAAAAATTAGCATTGCCGCATTTATTGCAGCTCGAACACACCCAAACTGTTAAGAATTACAGCAATCTCTATAAAAAGGCACTTAGTTCTCGATATTGAGAAAAATGTGAAATAACTGATCGTATTCTAACCTTGAAATCCAATTGGTTTCTAATGCCTAACTATTATGATTTGCATTCAATCTTTGCCTGTGGTCGAAAGTACTGATCGAACGAATTTTCATTTGATATTATGACGCTCATTCGATGAAGAATAGCGCTATTATGAATTTCGCTCTTTTATGTTAATCACAATAGTATATTTTTGACCGCTGAGAAGCTTTCTAAAAGCTTAAACAGACGGCAGCGTTGATCCGGACTAACTCGGACTTAATCCGGATCAACGCTGCCGTCTGTTTATGCTTTAAACCATAGATGGGCACACCAATACAGTCTCATTTTGTCATGGTATTCGTGAATCGCGCTGAGTAACAGTTGCCACTTTTCTATATTGTACAAAAGTGCGTCGTTTTTTGCGCGTGTTAGAAAACGCTCTTACAAATTTATATTTAATTTGTATTATGAACATGAAACGAAAATAATAAAATATAATTAAAAAATAATGAAGAAATAATTTCAAATAATGAATTATGAAATTAATTTTTATAAGTACATATGTACGCGCATGAAAAGTTTTTTTAATTTAATTTCATTAAACTAATGTTTTAAAAAATGATAGTTTATTCAACAACAAAATTCACGAATTTAAAATTTCTAAACTTTGTAAAAAACTCAGTATTCAATAAAGTATACTAAATATATTAAATTGCCGTATCGTACATACATATATACATAAAACCCATTACAAAACACTTTAAATTGGTTTACACAGTTCGGCAGTTTGACTTTTTTACCATGACAAATAATGTTGCCTTATATTAAAAGTACGATTCCAAGTAGTCGTATTACCACGTAACAAGCATTGGCCATTATTGGCTTTTCTTAAAACCAAAAACTATAATTGGCACTCATACGCAGCCATTTTGGGCATTGTTACATATATAGGTGGCAACAACGCGCTAAAATTACGAATAAAAATATTCAACGGCGAAGCGTGGTGTCACTCTCATGAAAACTGAAAGCAGGGCTCGAATCGTAACATCCGTGCACGGATCGAAAACGATACGGAAGAAAATTACGTGATACGTCAGTCGTATAAGCGAAATGGCATTATTACATACGAAAGCGAACGGAACGTAATTTATTTTTAACTTGAAGATGAAACCAAAGACGATATCTACGAGCCAAATTGATAAGTATTATGTCAATTTATTTCTTTGGCTTTCGGTGCTAATATTGCACCCTCATCAGAATTATACTAAAACAGGTAAAAAATTTGTCACATAATCATAGCACTAATATTTATCAGCCATAGAGTACTTACAAAAATCTGTGCTAATATATATATGTGTGTTTAACGCAAATTAAGCTGCGGCACCATGGATTGTCCATCGTATTATACACACATATATGTATCCGCAACTTGGTCAAATAGGCGGTATGTTTACCCTGTCTATAAAAACAATTAATACAAATTTATACACACAATATTCTATTTTATATAAAACACGCAAAAAGCAAAAGGCTTACTTCTTATGGGAGTAGCGCGTAACAATTGTAAATCTTCCGGCATAATAAATTTAAAAATTGAAATTATTCCAACGAACAGCGAGCGAATTATTGACTCAAATGTCAAAGTTTTATAAGTTCTATTCGTTACAACAAGACGAGCAGGTACATATATATGAAGCGAGAGAAGCATCAAACATAAAAACAGAAAGATTAAACTAAACGCCAAACAAAGGCACATTAGACTAGTTAAGGGCAGCAAAACAACAACAACAATAAGTGTGTATACTATCTCTGTCCCTAACTAGAGCGTCAACCGTGATACATCAACAATTAAGAATGCAAGCATGCAATATTGATACATACATGTATGTATCATAGTTCAGCAATGCAAAAAACACCAACTATACAGCACAAAGAGAAAAGTAAACAGCTGTGCCGTTTTTGCGCAATCTTTTCTGTGCGCCTAATACCTAAACTTATGTTGTCGATGAGAAATGTAAACTAATTAACACCGAATATTGGTAAGGAGTTTATTATAAATAGGGTTCAAATTTTCCGTATCCCTTTGTCGGTTCAATGTATTTTTACTAATCTTTATGTGAATCATCTCAGAAATATTAAGTTTGTTCCAATGCTTCTCCCTATCCAAAAGTTTGACCTGTTCCCAATCAAAATCATGATCTGTGTTAACTTTATGTACTGTAGTCATAGAGGTTGGATTTAACTTGTTACAAACGGAACAACAATATTTTTGTTACCAATGCAGACAAAGGTGGATCTTTAGTCATTATTAATAAGCCTGATTATTTCAATAAAATGAACTTGGCGCTATCCGATGAGTTGACGTATAGGAGAATTAGTAAAAACCCGATTAACAAGATTAGAGAACAGGTTAAAGGCTTCTTGAAGCGTTGGCTTCTGAAGGGATACATTGATAAAAATATGTATTTAAAACTTTTGGAAACCGACGGCTCCATTCCAAGAAGTTATGGATTACCAAAAGTTCACAAGAATAATTGGCCACTAAGAATTATTGTCTCTAGCATAGGAAGCCCGACTTATAAAGTAGCCAGATTTGTTCAAGACATTTTATCTAATAGTTTGCTTAAACCGTCAAGCTATGTTAAAGATAGCATAGATTTACTTAACAAAATTAAAAATATTTCTATTCCAGACGAATACATTCTGATCTCTTTGGATGTTACTGCTTTGTTCAACAACGTACCAAAAGAACTGGTATTAAATGCAATCAATTCTAGACGGAATTATTTAAATAA